CTATGTGATCAGTTTCATATACAAACTGTACATTTGTATGTGCTAACTACGTATAAAAGAGGAAGGTGGATCAATTTTTACATACCTCCACTTGTATTTGAAAGCAATATTTTAGAAATAGTTTTTTAGCCGGGCTCGGTGGCTCAGCCTGTAATCCCACGCCTTTGGGAGGCTGAGGTGAGTGGATTGCCTGAGCCCGGGGGTTCGAGACCCGCCTGGGCAGCGAGACCTCATCTCTACAATAAATCAAAAAATCAACCGGGCATGGTAGCACATGCCTGTAATTCCGGCTACTTGGAAGGCTGAGGCGGAAGGATCACTGGAGCCCAGCAGGTCGAGGCTGCGGTGGCCGGGAGCAGCCACTGCACTCCAGTCTGAGCGACAGAGTGAGACTCCAACTCAAAAAAAAAAAGAAATAGTTTTTTAGTAGGACTGCTTGATTTTTAAAATATGTTCAGTACCTTCTAAGAGATTTTTTAACACGATATTATAATTAGGCAGTTTTAGCTTCTAGACTATATCTGTGAATTAGGAACTGAGGTAACTGAAATAGCTAATGTGCAGCCTATAGAATCATTCAGTGTGAGAAACCCTTTGAGAGTTTATGCTATATGTATGATTTTAACCATTTTAATAGTCTGATTTTTTTACATATAAATAATGACAGCAAAAACTCTACCAAGAAAAAACATATTAGGTTATATTTTTCATTTTCTGCCAAAGAGACAGGGAAGTGGAAATATATTTTAGAAGTCCCTGTTTCAAAACCGTAAAAAAAAAAAAAAAAAAAAAAGATTATTAAAAGTGATAGTTTGCTTACTTAATGAGCCTGGAGAGATGAGACATACATGAGGTTTCTATCTGTTATTTTTAAAAATAGCACTTTGTGCTGTGGATTTTGTTGTTGATTAGTTTTCATTGGTAATTTTTCTAAGCTATATGGTTATTAAATAATACCAACTTTGGTGTAATATATTACTGATATAATTTCTATCAAATGTGGAACCTTTTAGCTTAAAACTGATCTAGAGAACATTGTTAATGAACCATTAAACTCTGCTTGTTTGCACCTTAGGGAAACAGCTTGATTCAGTAGCCTGGGGCAGGACAGATATAAAACTAGTAAGTCATTAAGTACTTAAACAAATAAACAGATTTGAAATGTCTTAAGCAGGAACAATTTGAGCAACAGAATAAATAATGATAGTATTTAATTTAACCTAAAGAATAAAATGAATATCCATGAGTTTATACTGATATAAGTAAGTGGTTAATAAATAAGTGGAGAAGAAGGGAATTCCCTAATTGTCTTTGTCTGAGTGTGGGCTGGATTTAGTGACTCATCTTCAAAGGTGAGTACTTGTTTGCCAGGCAGCAAAGAGGACTGTGTTGGGAATTTTCGGCACAGTAGTAATAAAGGCATTGAGATAGCAATGTTATTCTCAGTTTAGAAAAGCTGGAACAGAAGTTGTAGATAACTTTTATGAAGAGATATATGTGTTGTGTTACATTATTTGGACTTTATTTTGTGGTTGGTAATTCTCGAACATTAAATACAAGAATCATTTAGGGAGCTTTTCTGTAAAACAGTTTCACTATTTGACATAGAAGAGGTAGATCTAAAAATAAGAAAGTCTAGATCAGAGATGTGACAGAATTTGAAGTAAAATTGCTGGAGCCAAGGGCAAAGAGAGTTTGAAAAGGATCTTTAGTGTCAAAGACCATACAAGAGTAGAAACGGAGAAATTTTGTTTGAAAATTCACAGATTACCTATGACTTTGAAGGACCTCTCAAGGAAATGTAAGAAGTCAAGTCACAGTGGATTGAGAAGAGGGAGGTAGAGGAAATAAATCAGTGGTGGTCACTCCTTTAAGACTTTTATACTAAAGAAAAGGAGGGAGACAGAGAAGGGTAAAAGTTTTGGGGGGGATGGGGTTAAAGGAGGGCTACTTGAAGATGACCAAGTTTTGCATGTACTTTTACACTGAAGGGAGGATCCTAGTGGAAGAGTGAAGACAAGCCAGGGCAGATAATAAGTAACTGCTGAAGTGGGATGTTTCAGCTAGAATAAATGGTAAAGATTTCTTATGCAAGGGTTTTGAGAGGACAAATACTGCCTGTGTGATGAAATAGTGGATGAAGCTTATTCCAAGAATTCAAGGTTTGTTTAACATTAGAATATTAATTAATGACAATTCACCGTATTGCAATCTAAAATAGAAAAACCATATGATCATCTTAATTGATGCAGTGAAACATTTGACAAAATCTAACCTCCTTTCATGCTGAAAACACTACATAAACTTGGAATAGAAGGGAACTTCCTTAACTTGATAAAGGACATCTATAATAACTAGAGCTAACAGCTGACATCATACTTAATGGTGAAAGACTAAAAGTGTTCTAGCTGAGGTCAGGACTAGTATAAGGATGCTCATTCTTTTTTGTTTGTTTGAGTTGGAGTCTCTGTCACCCAGGCTGGGGTACAGTGGCACACTCACAGCCTCCCCAATTTCGACCTGCTGTGCTCCGGCGATCCTTCCACCTCAGTCTTCCAAGTAGCCAAACGACAAGCTCATGCTACCACTCCCAGCTAATTTTTGATTTATTGTAGAGAAGAGATCTTGCCAAGTTGCCTGGGCTGGTCTCGAACCCGCAGGCTCAGGCAATCCACTCGTCTTGGCTTCCCAGAGTGCTGGGATTACAGGCTGAGTCACTGAGCCCGGCCTAGGATGTCCATTCTTACCACTTCTGTAGTACTATTGAACTGGGTTCTGGTTGGTATAATCGGGTAAGAAACAGAAATAAAAGAGGCTGAGACAAGAGGATCGCTTAAGCCCAGGAATTCAAAACCAGCATGAAAAACATAGGGAGTCTTTGTTTCTACAAAAAAAAAAAAAAAAAAAAAAGATTAGCCAGGCCTGGTGGCACACACCTGTTAGTCTCAGCTACTCAGGAGGCCAAGGTGGGAGGATTGCTTGAACCCAGAAGTTGGAGATTTCATTGAGCTGTGATCATGCCACTGCATTCCAGATTGGGGGACAAGAGTGAGACCTCTGGCGGGGGAGGGGGAGTAAAACTGTTCACATGACCATCTATATAGAAAAGATAAATGGAGACAGATATATTTTTAATGCGTCAGAAGACTTAATATTATTATGATGTGAGTTATCTCAAAATGAAACTATAGATACAATGCAATCCCAGTCGAAATCCTGGCAGGCTGTTCTATAGAAATGTGACAAGGTGATTCTAAAAGGCATATGGAAGTGTAAAAGCCTTAGAATAGTCAAAATAACTTTGAGAAAAAAAAAACCAGTGAAGTTGATGGACTACACTATCTATTTTGAAGACTTGTTAGAAAGCTCCAGTAATCAAAATATTGACATAAAGGTAAACAAATAGAACAATGGGACAGATTAGAGAGTCCAGAGATAAACCCACCCATATATAGAATACTGATTTTTGAGAAAGGTACAAAGGCAATGCCATGAAGACAGGGCAGTCTTTTTAAAAAGAAATAATGCTGGAACAATTGGATATACCTGTGCAGGAAAAAAAAATAACTTTAGTCTATACCTTGTATGATATTTTAAAAAATTAACTCCAAAAGGACCATAGACATAAATGTAAAACTGAAAATATAAAACTTCTAGAAGGAAATAGGGGGGAAAAAATCTTTGTGTCTTTGGCTTTGGCACAGTTTTCTCAAAAACCACAATAAAATCAAGATCCATAAAAGAACAAGTAGATAAACTAGAATTCATAAAAAAGGTGAAACGTCTCTTCAAAAGACATTCTTAAGAGACTGGAAAGACAAGCCAGAAACTGGAAGAAAATCTTTGCTAAGAATATATCTGAAAGAATATTTCCTGAACATATTTTTTTTAACTTTAAAAAATATATTTTTTATATTTTAAAAAATATGGACATAGATTATATATTTTATGTGTTGTAAAAATATATTTTAATCCAATTTAAAACATAAGAAAAAGATTTTAATAAACAGTTCATCGATGATTTATGAGTGACAAAAAGCACATGAAAAGGTGCTTGACATTACTTATTAGGAAAATGCACATTGAAACCACTGTATACCTATTAGAATGACTGGAATTTAAAAGACTGACTATAGCAAGTGTTAGTGCGATGTGGAAGAGCTAAAATACTCATACACTGCCAGAGGAACATGGCATGGAACAACCCATTATAAAAGAGTTTGGCAATTTCTTAAAAAGTTAAGTACACACCTACCATATGTTCCAGCCAGTCACTTGCAGGTATTTGCCCAAGAGAAAAGGAGAATATGTCCTTGTGAAGACTTACCCATGAATATTTGTGGCAACTTTGTTTGTAATAGTGAAAAACTAGAAACACCCTAAATGTCTATCAACAGTGATGAATAAACACAGTGTGATACTACCTGGCAATGAACCTTTGATACATGTCACAAAATGGGTGAGTTGTGCTGAGTTAAAGAGACCAGACAAGGCAAAAGAGTATTTAATGTATGATCCCATTTGTAGGAAACTCTAAAATAGGCCAACTGTAGTGACAGAAGGCACTGGGCAGAGAAGGAGAGATGAAGAGAAGGGATTCCCAGGGGGCCCAAAGAAGCTTTTGGGATATGCTTGGGAAGGTCCGGTTACATACTTTGTTAGAAATGATCAAATTGCTGTATTAAATATTTGCCACTATTGTATGTTAATGATAGTTCTATGATGCTGTTTAATAAAAAAAGGAAAACAATGTCAAGATGGATGTTGGCGCAGTTGGAAATTGAAAGGACAAAGTGAGTTTGGAATAATGATATGATATGTATTTGCATGAAGGGTTCACATAATATTAAATTAAAACCTCAGGTATTTGCACTTTTTTGGTTTGTATTGTTTTTTAAGGTTTGAATGTCAGTCTGCATATGAATGTAAAGGTAATGAAAAAAAATGACATCTTCTTTCTCCCTTTCCCCTTTTTTCTTTCTTTCTTTTTTTTTTTTTAGGAGTGACAGTTCATTCAGATTCTTTGTATTCTTCTTCGTCTATATTTGTCAGTTTGCTGTACATGTTCTTCAGGCTGCAGGATTTCATAATTGGGGCAATTGGTAAGTTATTTACTAGTTTTAAGCTATTAATCTAATATCTTTATACAATTTTTTTGCTTTCCAAAGTAGTTAACACAGAAAAGCTGGACTAGCAAAAGTAAACAAAAGCAATGTTCTGTGGAAGTTTTGTACAAACCATTCTCTTTAAAAGAGAACGATAGGCTGGTCTTGGTGGCTCAGCCTGTAATCCCAGGACTTTGGGAGGCCAAGGCGACTGGATTGCCTGAGTCTGCGGGTTGGAGACCAGCCTGGGCAACTTGGCGAGACTTCGTCTCTGCAATAAATAAAAAATTAGCCAGACATGGTAGCGTGCGCCTGTAGTTCTGGCTACTTGGAAGGCCGAGGCGGAAGGATCGCTGGAGCCCAGCAGGTCGAGGCTGTGGTGGCCATGAATGTGCCACTGCACTCCCACCTGGGCGACAGAGTGAGACTCCAACTAAAAAAAAAAGAAAGAAAGATTATGCTCTCTTTGTTAAAAACAGCACACTGTATCTAGTTTAAATAAAATGTGTTTGCAATGGGCACTGAGGAGGAGTGCCCAGAAGACTGAGAAGTGGTCAGAGAGATAGGAGACCAGGGATTGTAGAAGGGACAGAAAAGAACTTCAAGGATTTTAAAGAAAGGGTCACAATATGTGTAAAGCATGATTTTAGTTATACAAACACATATATTTTTGTATGCATAGACAATTGTCTTTGAAAGGGAGACTTACCAACACACACACACACACACACACACACACACACACACGTCTATAAACAGCAGAGTCATTCTTATTTACCATGGCAGGATGCTCACTCAGTGGGGGACAGACTGTCTGGACCCAGGCTAATAGGTAGTAGCAGATTTATGTCTCTCTTCTTACACTCTTGAGCAAACATTTCCTGAGCGCATTGCAGGTGGAAGAGTACACATCTCTAAAATTATCCCTCCCTTCCCTCTTTCTTTTATGGTGATTGTATTTGACTGAGTTCTTAGATGTCAAAAGCACGTGTGATGCAGCTTTGTTGTACTGTGTACATAAACTGAAGTCAACATGGTGTGCTGAGGACTTAAATTAAGTATGCCACTGCTGAAGGAGTACTGACTGGGTGTCAGACAGCTCTTGGCAGTTTTGCAGAGCTCCTGATGGGCATATATGCATGCAGAGAATTTGTATAGCTATTTTAAATCAGTTCTCAGAAAAAAGTAGTTTTCATTATTTTAAGTAGTGTCTAGTCTTTGGCATTTGAGGGAAAGGAAATACTTTAAATGTTTAATTAAAAGACACATTGCTTTAACAGCACAAGTGTTTTTTATTCTTGTGAAGTTGAAATCGTTTCTTTTGCTTTTTTAGTGCAAACTTAGGGGGAAGATGCTAAAGTTGAGCATAACAGCATGTGTTGTGACTAAATAGCACAGAAGAGTCTGTTGATGAAGCTGCACACAGAATGACCTGTTTTAAGACAGACCTCATGTAATTCATGTTTTCTTAAGTTTAGCTTTATTTTTAGGTAATTGTAGATTCACCTACAGTTGTAAGAAATAATGCAGAGAGATCCAGGGTACCTTTTATCCAGTTTCTTCCAGTGGCAAAAATCTTGCAAAACTATAGTAAAATGTAAAAACCAGGATCTTGACATTGACAGTCAAGTTATAGAACATTTTATCACCAGAGTTTCCTCATGTTGCTTTTCTAGATCACACTCACAGCTTCCCTGTTCCCACTCACTCTCTACCCTGGCAACCACTCATCTGTTATTTATTCCCTTCTGTTACTTTGTCATTTCAAGAAGGTTATAGTGGAATCATGGAGTATGCAGCCTTTAGCTTTTTTCTGTCATCATTATTCTCTGGAGATTCGTCCAGGTTGTTATGTGCTTCAGTTTATTCCTTTTTATTTATTTGCGCTTCGGTTTATTCTTAGCACTCCTCCACAATACGGATATTTCACAGATTCTTTAACTATTACCAGTTGAAGGATGTCTGTTGTTTCCAGTTTGGAGCTACTAGGAATACAGCTGCTGTGAGCATTTGTGAACAGGTTTTTGTGTGACTGAAGTCTTCTTGTCTCTGGGATAAATGCCCAATACTGTAATTGTTGGGTTATATGGAAGTTGCATATTTAGTTGTTTTAAGAAGCTGACAAACTGTTTTCCAGAATAGCTGTACCATTTTATATTGCCACCAACAATTATGATTGATTCAGCCTCCACTTCCTTACCAGCCTTTGGTGTTATCATTGTTTTTTTATTTTAGCCATCCTGATAGGTGTGTGGTGATAGTTCATATAGTTTTAATTTGCAATTCCCTAATGACTAATGAGGTTGAATATCTTTTCATTTGATTATTTGCCATCTTCATGTCCTCTTTGTGAAATGTCCCTTCATGTTTTTGCCCATTTTCTAAATGATTTTTTTTTGTAGTGGTGAGTTTTGAAAGTTCTTTATGTATTTTAGATGCTAATCCTGTGTTGGATATGTGGTTTGCAAATATTTTCTTCTGTAATTTAGCAGAATTTAAAATGAACATTTTAAAAATGTAATAATGAACTCTTAGGCTTAAAAAAATGTAGCTGTCTAGGGGTAAACACTTGCAGCTCTGGAATTTGGGTTGCTTTTGAATTTAGACTGTCATGTATAAGCTGCATGACCTTGGAAAAGTTACTCAATACCTCTGTGACTCAGATCCTCATCTATAAAATATGGATTAATGACAGCATCAGTCTTACTGGGTGGCTGTGAGAATTAAATGTGTTAATACATGCAGAGAAGTTGAATAGTGCCTGGCTTATAAGTGCTGAATATGTTAGATGCTATGCTATTTTTTAAAAGTGTGCATTAATTTATTTGCCTAATACACCTTTTATTACTTGTAGTGGTTGGATTTCATCCCTTACTGGTCTCAACAAAAATATTCCTGTTGGAATCATGATGATTATCATAGCAGCACTTTTCACAGCATCGGCTGTTATCTCACTAGTTATGTTTAAAAAAGTAAGTGAAATTTTATGTCTGTAAACTTTTATAACGAACCTGATGGAAAGTTCTAATTATCCCATATTACTGTTAATATTCACTGTAACCACAAGCCATTTTATTGTTCTTGTGAAAGTTTGCACTTTGAGGATTACATTTTACAATGAAAAGTTATACATAGATACATTTTAGAAAATTACACCATATTTTTAAACTTCCTGCATAAAGGAAACCTTAAAATTCTATTAGCCGAAGATTTCTTTCATTAATTAAATAACCCACTTCATTTAAAAAATTTGGATTTTTAAATATACTCCTTTTTAAAAAAAAATATAAAGCATATTTGCCTAATTGATAAATAGAAGAAGACCAGGCATGATGGCTCATGATCTAATTCCAGTACTTTGGGAGGCTGAGGCAGGAGATTGCTTGAGCTCAGGCATTAGAGACCAACCTGGGCAACAATGTGCGACCTTGTCTTTACAAAAAATTTAAAAATCAAGCTGGGTGTGGTGGTGTGTACCTGTAGTTCCATGTACTTGGGAGGCTGAGGCAGAAGAATCACTTGAGCCCAGGAGGTTGAGGCTGTAGTGTGATATGATTGCGCCACTGCACTCAGCCCTAGGTGGCAGAGCAAGACTTAGTCTGTAAAAAAACCAGACAAACAGAAATAAAACTATTGTGTGGTATGTGTAGTTTATTCATATTTAATATTTAAAGATGTTAAGAGTATAGAGTAAGCTGATGACAGGTTCAGGCTGGGTTATGACATGAATTTTGCTTTTGTTAACTGCTTAATTATCTTAGCTATACTTCTTCCTGTAGAATTCCCTTGTCTGTTTTCACAACCTTAAAAAGCAGTCATTGCATAGAGTGGGAGAAAAATCAATGTTTTCACTTTTTTATTTAAAATTTTATTGTCTTGGTTATATATTTTTGATATTTTGCATGTGTTCAAACATGATATTTAGGCCCTAGGAGTAGCACTTATGTTTTAAAATGATAAAAGCTGACTGGGCTTGGTGGCTCAGCCTGTAATCCTGCGCTTTGGGAGGCCGAGGTGAGTGAATTGCCTGAGCCTGTGGGTCTGAGACCTGCCTGGGCAACTTGGCAAGGCCTCATCTCTTCAATAAATCAAAAATTAGCCAGGCATGGTAGCGCGTGCCTGTAGTTCCAGCTACTTGGAAAACTGAGGCGGAAGGATTGCCGGAGCCCAGCAGGTCGAGGCTGTGGTGGCCGGGAGCCTGCCACTGCACTCCAGTCTGGGCGACAGAGTGAGACTCCAACTCAAAAAATAAAAAGCAAAATAAAATGATGAAAACTTTTTGGTGGATCTCATTTTAAGGAAAACAAGTCCTTAACATTTTTCTTGACTTTTTTTTTGCTGTGTGGTAACTTGAGAATATGTACAAAGGATATATTGAAATCATTGTATCTTATGTTTCACATTATTCTGCACTCTTGAAATACTTAACTTGTATATTTGCCTTTTTTCCTTCTCAAGACCCTGTGAAGGTTAGGCTGTGTTCTTCCTATCCATAGTTTCCTAATTATTTTCTCTCTTAGAAAGTTTAACTTCTTTTCTGCATCAAACATGCATACCATTGAAACTCAGCTTTCTAAGGTTACTAAATCCTGTAGCATTTTAAAAAATAACAGTCTTAAGTGTAATTTGTGCTGTGCGGTCATTTTATTTGGGAATTTTATCCTTCCTTGTTCATTCTCTTCTCTACCTGAGTGACCTATAGTCTTTGAATTGGAGAAGTTAATGCTTTGTATAAGCCATTGGTTGCAGCTTCAGCTGATCATTTGCATCGCTAGTTGATGGTTGTCATCGTCTCACAATGGTGCATCCTAAGCTCTTCCCTTTCTTCTCAGCACTCGACGTTCCTATTCATATTCAAGAAACGTTTGTTAAGTTCATATATTTCATGATTCCATCTATATGAGATATCCAAAACAGGCAACTCTATAGACAGAAAGTAGATTGGTGGTTGTCTGTGGCCGGGTGGTGGGGTGAGGAGTGACTGCTAGTGGTCATGGACTTCTTTTGGGGTAATGCAAGTGTTCTGAAATTAGGTGGTATAGATGTTATAGTCACAAGTCTCTGAATATACTAAAAATAATTGAATTGTACACTTTAAAGGGTGAACTGCATAGTATACACATTTTATCCTAACGAAGCTGTTTTTTAAAAAGACATATTTATTGAGTACCTACAATGAATGAGATGGCACCAAATGCTTTGTGTGATCCCACTTAACGTGTCAGTGCTGTGACTGCTTCTGTCTGTGCTTCCATTACTTTTCCAGTCACTTTATTAGATACCTTCTTAGTATCTTTTCCATCTTTTGTGTTTCATTTCCAATCTCAGCTAGCCCAAAGGTTATTTTTAACAGGTCACTCACACTCCCTCACCCTTTTTTTCCAGTTCATCTTATATACACTTACTTTATTAATCTAAAAAATCACTCCAACAAATCAGCACTCTGCAGGTTTTTAATGTGGAGTTGGGCTGAGGAATGGGATTATATGGCAGTGGTAAGGGCTAGTGGTGACATTTCACAGCATCTGGACCCACACTTTCTACTCTAGTTAAACAGTACTACTCAGTTTCCTCAAATATGTCATGTACACTCTTTTGTCCCAGATTGTGTTTATGCTATGGTTTTATCTTCTCTGCCAGTTGATGACCTACTAATGTTCTTTCAAGTCCCAGCTCAGCTTGCTGCCTCTTCCACAGACTTTCTCATTGTCCCATGTCTTAGTTATTATGTCATTCTGTTTTTCTGAGAAGCTTATTGTATTGCCCACAGTGAGGTGTGGACATAAGCCAGTTTATATGCCTTGGAGTCCACATGTTCTGGTACCTGGTTTGTTAAGTTCCTCCAGGCTGAACAAGCCTTTTAGCATTGGAGTTAGAGGAGAAGAGCAAACGCTTTGCTTTGGACCCACACCACTCAGGCTGAAACTCTGGCACCTTCCCATACTCTGTGAGGCTTGGGACAGGCTTCTGCAGTCAGTCAGGTATGACTTCCTCCCGTCCTCCACACTGCATGCTTGCGGAGGCCTGGTCTGTATGCTTTCAGGTTGTATTCCTCACAGCTGGAACAGCAACAGGCCGTGTTTGGTGTGTGATAGGCACTCAGATACTTGTTGAATAAGAGAAAGAATGGGAATAATAACTACTTTCATAGGATTGGAGTGAGAATTAATGAATCAGTGAATGTAAATTACATAGCCCAGGGGCCTCCTCATTTAAAAAAATTGTTTTCCTTTCTGATCTTCTTAACTCTTTTATCATTTTTTTTTTTTTTGAGTTGGAGTCTCACTCTGTCGCCCAGACTGGAGTGCAGTGGCCGCTCCCGGCCACCCGTAGCCTCCACCTGCTGGGCTCCGGCGATCCTTCCGCCTCAGCCTTCTGAGTAGCCGGAATTACAGGCATGCGATACCATGCCCGGCTGATTTTTTGATATATTGTAGAGATGAGGTCTCGCTGCCCAGGCGGGTCTCGAACCCGCGGGCTATATTCAGGGTCTGGCTTAGTGTCTACTTTTGTTTAGTAGATGCTTTATCAATCAGTGTTCCCTCAGAGCAACATAACAGAATGAAGAGGTTTATTACAGTGAATTGGCCAACTTGATTGTGAGGGCTGACTAGATGAGCCTGAAAATCCGCCGGGCAGGCTGTTGGGAAGGGTAGGCTAGAACTCTCAGGCAGAACCTGAAGCTCTAGTCCACAACCGGGATTTCTCCTTCCTCAGAGGAACTCCAGGTCTATTCTTAAGACCTGTTAACTGATTGGGTGAGGCATAACCAGATCATCCAGAGTATTCTTTACTTAAAAGTCAACTGGTAGTAGGTGCCAGTTCCATCTACAGACTACCTTCCCAGCAACACCTAGGTTAGGGTTCAGTGGAGTAGCTGAGGGCTGTGGCCTAACACTGACCATTCAGCACCATTCTTTGGAGAATTCCTTTATTATTCCAAATGTTTCACTGAGGGTGTTTTTTAAAACTAGAAGGGTAGAAAATATAGAGTGTAGTAGACGTTTTTTAGGTGTGTTGCAGGTTTCATTCTCTTGTTAAGCAACTGTTGTTAAGCATGTATCATGTGCCTGGCACTGGGCCATCCATGAGCTCAAGAGCTCACATATTGCTGTGCAAGAGAGACAAATTAGTGGGTACTACAGTCCATGGATGTGATAGCTTTTGTAAAACTAAGCAGGATATAGAGAGCAGAGGAACACCTAACTAAGTTATGGAGGTCTTTTTAACACAGTGAAGCCTTATAAGTATCGCTTCAACTGAGATGTCATGGTGACTACTCATCATTGTGTAAAGGAATAAGGGGCAGAGAAGAGGTAAGAGGATAGTAGGTACCAGATAGTGGGAATGCCACATTCATTTTTAGTTCAGGAAATAAAACACAGGTTCAGTGAATTAAAAGTAGCCCAGAAGAGATGGGAGATAAACTTGGTACATGAACTGGGTTGGGAGAAATGTAGGCTGTTGGTGATGGACGGGAAAGAAGAGATTGAACACATATGTGCAGGGTCTTGCAAACTAAGGAAACCTCTCCACAATGTGATGGTGAGCCATAGAAGAGTTTTAAGGAAGAGTGATGGAATTGATCAGATGTGAGCTTTAGAGGGATTATTCTGGAATAGATTTGGGATTTGAGGGTGTGGTACTTGAAAAAACTAAGGCTAGAGACAAGCTAGAAAGCTGGTTAGTAATGATGATGGCCTGAACTAAGGAAGTGGCCATCATCATTCCTGGACCAAGGAAGTGTGAAGTGAATATAGTAAAGAGAAAATGAGCAGGTAATGATGAACTCAACTTGGGTCTGGAAGTAGGCAACAGGGAAGACTCAAGGATAACACCTAGGTGTTTAGGTGATGGGCCTTTCAGGAAGAGAGGGTACAAGAGAAGGTTTGGGGATCAAGATGTTTTCTGCTTTGAATGTGGGGGAGTTTCAGTTAGCTGATGGGGCATTAAAGTATAAGTACTCAGTAGG